TGTTGATGGATGACGATGGTGGTGGTGGTGGTGATAGTGGCGGTGGTGGTGGTGGTGGTGGTGATAGTGGTGGTGGTGGTGGTGGTGCTCAAATTATTCATATTAAATGTGAAACATAGTTAATGAAAGATGTAATTTTTTTTCAGTGACCCTTTTCTAGAATATCAATGCAGGCATTTATCCAGAGACCCTAAGGCAGAATGATTCATCTTATCCGGGTAATATGCTATCTCTACAGATTACCGGCAAGTTGTCTTTGAGTCAGTAGATAATGAAATGACTCATAGGCAAACAGACGACGATAAATCATATAAACCATTTGTATGTCTCCACCCTAAAAAACGTTTAGTGTTTCATTCGTGTCTCTTGTGCTTTAAACTTTTCACAAAATTCTGCTAACCTCGAGCAATTCTACTTCGATGTATTAGCGAAAATGTTATTTTTTGTGCTGATCAAAATATCATCTCTCCCAACGTTCAGGGCGTTATATCTCAAATACACATTCCTTAAATTTCCCCAAATTTTGGTATTTTGTCAATCAGCCCCAAAAGAGCCTGTTTATGAAATATACAGCTTATTGACGCATAAACGTCGAAAGTGGAACCCGTTTTTCTGCCCTGTCGATGTCTTATACGATACTAACCATAGGTGGACGCAATGTTTATAAAGATTGTCATTATAATGTTAATGTGCCATCCATTTTAAAAATTTGATTCCAAGCCTAATTTTTTTCGAATATATATTTAGCTATAAACAAAGCCATCCAACAAACTTTGATCGATTTTAAAGTGAAATTTAAAGTTAAGAAAAACCATTTATGGTCTGTTTGAACAAGGTTAAAAAGCTAATTGATACTGATGACATCCATAGTAAATCACTGAATTAAACACGCGACTTTATCTTTCTGCCCATTTTGAACTTTGCCTCACTGGTTAAAATTTTTGAACATTTTTAAGAATTTTTTTTTCATTATCTAATCTTTTCTTTCTTTTTTGTTAAGCGTATCTTTTTTTAAGCGTTTCTTTTGTTTCTATTTGTTTAAAGGGCTTATGCCAGTCATTCTTGCTGTCGTTGCCACGGTAGCACTGAATACATCTGATGTCGCGCTTTATAGATCAATTAGTTTATCATTGATGGTTTGTTTGTCAATATTTACCTTTACAGACATTTATATCCTACATAATAATTGATAGAAATTGCTTTGAGTGTCACATTTGATGTAAGATTACTTTATAAGCGTTTAGGCGCCTCAATCCTTTGACATCTTTTTTTAATCCCGCTTTTAACTCTGATATTAATGAGTAGGGGGAAAGCAGTTATTTGACAGTCTATCTACAGTTCACCGATAAATGACGTTGTTGGTATTAATATTCACCACTATTAGTATCACACAAAGACTCATCCACTGTTCGTTACCCTAAAATTGGTTTCGGCAAATTAATGCTACTGAATAAAAGAGTTGCCAGGACGACATGTCTTAAATAAGATCTGTATTGGTGATCTCTGTAGCCCCAGCGAGTAAGTGGTCGGTCCCTAAGGGATTATTGTGTGGTCGTCATTCCTCGTGCAAGGTCAGTTAACGCTACTGGACAAAGAAGTGCCAGGTCGACACGTCTTAAATAAGGTCAGTATTGGTGACCTCTGTAGCCCCAGCGAGTAAGTGGTCGGTCCTTAAGGGATCACTGTGGGTCGTATTTCTTCGTGTAAGGTGAACAACAATTCAAATGTCACTAGAAAAGGTATTTTTCATGCTATAATTGAACCAAAAAGGCCATGAAAATACAAGTTTTCACGAGAACTAGTAACATAGACTTACAAATGGACATATCAACCACAAGGAAAGACACTTCTGGTTGTTTGGTTTTGTCCTCATTCCGACAAATCTAACATGGTATTGGTAAATTCAAATTCTATCCGAGTTAGCCGTGCCTTGATATTGATCAGCCCCGAGGTTATTTCAGGGTTCAACTGTGAGTTAGCCGTCGCCCTGCCCGTTCCAGAGGTTGTTTCAGGGTTCCATCTGTGAGTTAGCCATGCCCTGACTTAGATCAGCCCAGAGGTTGTTTCAGGGTTCGATCTCAGAGTTAGTCATGCCCTGAGTTAGTCTCCCCCACAGCCGCTTTCAGTGTCGTCACGCAACGCTTTGAACAACAAAGGGGTTGTTTCAGGGTTCAATCTTTGAGCTAGTTAACCACGCTCTGACATTGATAAAATTTAAGGTCATTTATTGTTCTTTGCGGATTTGGCTTACTGAAGATCATCAATTTGTTTCGGACATTTTCAGATGGAAATCAATTAAAAACAGAAGAAAATCTGCATATCATAGGTGATAGAGGGAAATTCCCCCTTCTAATTATGCCTATGTACAGCAAGCGACAAATAATTAGGAAGTAATTTGCTGCCTACACAAACAAGTGCAAATGTTAACCGAGTGGAAATATTTGAGAATTTTTTAATAACTTTTCGGTCTGGATAATAGAAAGCCTTTCGTGAAGAAAATGGCTCCCTGCTTGTCTGATATCCATCATCTCGTGTTTTGGGTGGATTTGGCAAGAATTTTTAGCGCGGAAACGCTCGTGCTAAGAGGCGCATTAAACATGAGCCCTTGGCTCGGGAAAAATTGGGCAACCACTCCCAGCGTTATCGAAGTAAAATAAACTACCTTTACCTTTACCTTTTTTACCTTTTTAATGTCTATAAAAGTCAAACACGTCAAGCAGGTGTTGGTAATCATAACAAGGGCCGTGGCGAGGGAATGGGGGCGCAGTTGGGGGCGACCAAAAAGATTGGCTAAAGAGACAAAAAATCGTGCCCTTTATTTTCTCTCTCTTTTCTTCTTTTTTTTTTTTTTTTTCTTTTTTACTTTTTTTCGTGAAAGATATAAATGACTGTCATTTCTCGATAAAACAACAAAATTAACAATTTAAGCATCTTGATTAAGATCATTCATTTTTTTTCGATTCAGTTTCAAGTAATTAGAGGAGTTCCATTTACGCCATTTCACCTGTTCCTTATAATTACTGAACCAAGTGTTTTTACAATGAAGGCTGGAGCTGAGGTCCATAATCACAATGAAGAGCTGTTAAGATTGATCTTGTGCTTCCTCGAAATGAAATTTATGAATTTAAAAAAAAATACTTTGATGCAAAATTAGACAATTTCCAAATACCTCAGCAAAGGACTGTGCGTAAAATAAAGTCATCAGGTCTCTGCTGAAGAGCCAGTTGGATCAAAGGTAATTTACGCAATACTGTCTAAGTATACGACAAGCAAAAATTATAGCAGCCGAAATTCAGTACTAGGTATGAACAATGCAATTTATCTTGTGTTTTTAGTCTAAATGTAAAGCTGGTCTAAATGTAACTATTTTTAGATGGGCTTGTGAAGTATCATATAGATCGTGCCGATGCGTGTGTTTAYATGCTTGTTTCAAATTGTAATTTATAAGTARCMGTATTTTAAATTAGTCTCGAAAAAGAGCAAAAAATACGATTTATTGATCTCAATATTCAATCAACACGAAATAATGATATAAAAACAAATGTCAGAACTGAACACCAAGAAAATATATTAAGGATATAGTTATGTCTGCCTTAAACAGGTTTCGTCGTACGGCGAGCTCAAACAACCCAAATTTCTCAGGATTCGAGAGTTTCGTATAAAGCGTTCATTGAATAACCCAAGCTGAATTTTATATATGATTTAGCTTACCATTGGAAGGTATTATGTCTGGAATTTCAGATAAATCCGAACACCCTGTGCACGTGAAAATGCGCTTTGCAAACTAAGGGTGAAATTTAAATATCTGAGAACCTGTAAAAATGTAGTTTGTAAAACATTCCTGTTCACTTATTAGAACGCGTTTTCTATTTATACTTTAGCGTAAAATAATCATTAATCTTTTGTTTGCCATATTTCAAAAACAGATCTTCTCTAGTTTGCTTCATTTTTCTACGCGAGCACCTTTCTCAGACCTACCATTTTCACCTCGGGTTTAGGCTGAAATGAGAGCACCGACGGCCAAAATCGATTTTCACGATTTTCTCAAAATAAAAGTGAAATTATTCAAAATGAACATCAGTGCGTTTATTTGGTTGGTATTCTACATCTTTGGACCAAATATGAATTAAACGTTAGTGGTTCGAATTAAACGTTAGTGAAATTTTGAACCTTGAATGACAGTTATCTCAGTTATCTGTGTACTGTCAATATACATACGAAAAGGATGTTATAAAAAGCTTAGCAACAGAATTAAACACACGATTTTTTTTTTTTTTTTTTTTTTTATTTTTTTTTTTTTTTTTTTTTCCTTCGTTGATAAAATGTAAATTAAACCAGTTT